GCTCCGAGCTTGTTGCATGTACCGCAAAAAGGCTCCGATCCCCCCGACTTCTGCGCTTCAGATAGAGGGGCGGTTCGTAGTCGATGACTTCCGTCACCACGGCACCAAACGCTGCCAGCAAGATAAGGCAAAGCACATCCCAGTGCTCCTGGAGATGGGATGATCAGCCCAACAGAGGGATGGGATGATGGGCCAAACAACGGCCCGAAAACAACGGCCGCTGCGAGCGCTGGAGTCGGTCGAGAAGCCTAAGATAGGGGGACCTGAACTGCTACGCGCACCATGAACCACCACCGCGCTCCGTGAAGGATTCGAGCTTCCATTTGAAGCGGAAGCCCCCATGCAACCTCAGGCATCGTGGAGATGGCGAGTCTAAACTGGTTCCGCAGGGAAGCGCAAAAGAAAACAGAACCTAAGAACTCTCTCTCAGTTCAACACTGGTTGCATCAAGCTTCTGATAGAATAGCAAAACCTAGAAAGGTTCAATCCCTGCACAACGTGCTGAATCGACCCTTTCACGTACATCAGGGAATCCCTGCATTTGTCAGGCATTCTGCTGGCGTTCTGCCTGACAGGCATAGAAGACCAAATCAAAAGTTGTTTTTGAGATACGATATCGTGGGTGAGTTCAACCTGCCAAAAGAAGATAAAGAAGTTCACATCAAGGGTAGGTAGCTTGAAACTTGCTTTCTCCAAAGATATATCTGCTCCTCCGGGCCAAGAACGGTTCCTTCAGCATCGCCAGAATCCGCTCGCTGCCCTCGAAGTCACCTCCACCCTCTGGTGCCCCCGAGAGAAAGCTCCAAGACCAAGCAGCACAGCCAGGACTGCCAGTGCTCCTGCCAGGTTTGACCAGCCAATGCCCACTTCCATCAAGGGCCAGGCCTTAAAAAAGAAACGTTCGGATTTTTGAAGCGCGTGCAGACTCCAGAACAAGAACAGTCGCTCAGGGAGTTCACCTCAACACTGAAAGGGTCAAGGAGCACAATCGAATCATTTGAGGCTTCTTCTGGTTGCTGGACTCACACAAACCTCACCCAAATCCCACCCAGGTTTTCCCCAGTCATCACGTCCCTGTAGCCAGGAGGCACACACTCGCAGGATCAAGAAGCATCCATGAAGAAGCAGCACCTGACGAGACATATATATATATACATTATCATATACCTGCATCTTCCAACGATGCAGAACTGGTTTTTGCCTTTTGTCTGGTTTTATGTATGAAAGTAATAATCCTTGCACAGTTGGAAGATCCAGGTGTAATTGAGGGTACGTTCAAACAGCTTCGCCCAAAACGCCGTGCTTTGTGCAGAGTGTGACACCCTGAGACGCGCGTCACAAAAAAAAAGCAGGCCCTGTTGGGGGCCGGAAACCGTGGTCTTCTTTTCAAAATAATCAAACTTGTAACTCGGCTGGGATTTACAAAGTTATCACCTACTCTTCTTCCAAAATGGTTCAGTTTTGTTGGGTCTTTTTTTCTGGAAGCAAGGATTTTAAAGAGTACATAGATCACCTTACATCATACAAGCACTGAGCAGTTCCTTTTTCTTTCCAGACAACGGAAGCGGGTCAGAACCCCCCCGACCGCGGTGGCCACCGCCGAAGCGGACCTCACCTTGGTCTCGAAGAGCGCCAACATGGCTTCCGGGTCGGGGCACGACCTGAGCCGGTGAACCGTGGACCGGGAAGCGGACGGACACGGGCATCGCAAGCGTGACGGCCTGGGGGGGGCGCTTCTGCGCCATGACAGCTACGAGTCAGGTCCAGCAAAAATGTGGCTCATAGTCAGTCAGTCATCGTCCCAACGAAGCCCGGAGATTTCAGGTGCACCCTATGCTTGAGCCATAGTGATGTAGGTCGTGGTTGATCAGTGTGATCAGCTGATCAGTCACACATCTTGCAGTCCCTCAGGGGCCCGAAGGGACCTCCTCCTGGTAAGGCATGAAGCAAATGCCCAACTTAGCTAGTGTAAAAGAACATGAAAAAACACACAGGTGGTGGGAATTCTGCATCCGTGAGGTCTTTGAAGTAGCTGGATCCACCTCAAAACGCCTTCAAAAGGAGGCCTGCAAGTGCGCCCATTCCAGCCAAAGGGAGCTGTCTACATGGGTTGGTGAAAAGCGCCTGACCTCGCATCCAATTTCAGCCCCTCGACCAGGCCACAGGACACATAGGCTGGGTTTGGAAAAGGATTCTCGGTCCTCAGCTACATAGGCTCATATGTTCTGGTACTTTGAGGTTAGGACCTACAGTGAGTCGCCCCTCCATGCACAAGTCCAGTGGCGTGAGTCGCAACTCCAGGAAGAGCAACGGCAGCATCTGAATCACCTGGGCGAGACGCCCTACTCTCTCCATGTTCGCCCCAAAACCGGCTCCAGAAACGCAGGCGGCCGTGGGTTTGACCGAACGCAGCTCCGGGACCTCGTCCATCTGGCTGAGATCCGGTCTGTAGACACAGGCCATGCAAATGAAGGGAAATTGGGCCAGGGGATCTCCCAAATTGGGCCAGGGGATTTTGCAGGGGATCTCATAGACTCATAGACCTAAGTCTTGAGGATTATAGTGACGGACAACCACTTAGAACATAGATATTTTTCACCAAAAAAGGAGTCACATAGAACATGCCGAGGACCCAACACATAGAACAAAAAAAACGCGTTCTAAGCCTTGCTCTTGGAACAATTGAAATCCTGCACTTAGAACATATACAGTACAAGCCCTTTGTTACTAGTAGCGAACCTTGTTCCTAGTAGTAAGGCCAGGAGCCCCTAGTAGCATCCTTGCTCCTATCTAGTGGCGATGCCCTTTGTTACTAGTAGCTTCTTGTTCCTAGTAGTAAGGCCAGGAGCCCCTAGTAGCGTCCTTGCGCGTAGCGAACCTTGTTCCTAGTAGTAAGGCCGGGAGCCCCTAGTAGCATCCTTGCTCCTCGTAGCGACCCTACAGCATTTCAACCCAATCGCGTCAAATGTTTCCCCAACCTTGAATAGTGACGGACAAGCACTTAGCACAAATTCAGATAAATTTATAAAAGATGAGCTCTGTTTGTTCTAAGTGATGGGTTTATCATGTTCTAAGTGTCAGGTTTTTGCATGTTCTAAGTCTAAGGTTCTGCAGCTCCATTTTCTTGTTTATGTTTCACCGATTTGTTCTAAGTGATTGTCCGTCACTATAGAATGCTTCGACCGCTCTGCTTCACACGGAGCCTCTCACAGTCTCTGATGCTGGCCACGGAGAACCCCGCCCCACACAAAGCCCCATCTTCTCGTCGTTTGGCCCCATCTTCGTGCAATGAAACGGCTGTTGGACCACATCCTTTTTGTTTTCAAGCCAATTACAGATTTACAAACCCCTAGGCTGCCACAAAGTAAGGGTATCTGGGGTGTTGCAGGCGTTTACTCTGCGTACCATCGCTCATGGAGTACCAGACGCTCAACACTTCACATGCAACCTGCAACCAAAAACAGCTCTTCTCTCTCTCTCTGTCTATGTCTCTATGTAGCTTACAGACTCCTCTTCCCCTCAGTTCCTCAGGGTTCTTTTCACCAGTTGCATGTTGATTGTTCAAGGCACGCTCCTTTGCCCAAGGCACGATGAGGCCCAAAAAGACCTTCGAGGAGTTATCGTTGCCTTCCTGCCTGGGAGATGGACCGGCTCAGGTGACCAATCCAGCAGAAACAAAGAGCTGGCTGTAAATGCCCAAACCAGGAAGGATTGCAAAGCCATCACAAGGCCTCCAAAGCAGCACATCATTTGGGGCCATTGTCTTTCCGCCAAGTGTCGCAGTGGCATGGCAGTATGTCAGCAGGAGCACTGCCGCAAGGATCAGCCCAGAAGGAAGAACAATATTCAGCACCTTCCCATGAAGCACCGTCCTGAGTGGGGGAGATCCACGGTGTTTTGAAACGTTTTAAAACATGCAAGTGCACAAACAAACAAACAAATAAACACAATTATATAAAATACAAACAAACAAATGGCAAAACGTCCACTCACCCAGCAGTTCGTGACGACTGAAAGTTTGACTCTTTACACCTTCTGCAGCTCAGAAGTCCAGAAAAGAAACACAACTGCCTGGGAAAAAAATAGAAAAACGACAAACCCCATTCCTTGCAACCGTGTTTCTACCCCAAACTGTTCCACTGAGTCCACCACAACCCACCTCCAACACTTCACCCGTCGCGTCGTTTCTCGCTGTTTCACCAGCCTCCAAAGCGATGCCATCGTTCCCAGCGAAGCGGAATCGGCTCGGCCACGCCACGCGCCGAGCGAAGCGGAAGCTGCCGGAACACGCAGGGGGTCTCTGTGTGTGTGTGTGGCTGTGTGCGCGTGCGTGTGGAAGGTGTTTGGATGGGAAAACCGGATCGCGGAGCTGACGAGTTGGCAGCTGGGATGAGTGCTGCGAGGTGGTTAGAGTTAGCATGAATTAGCTACATCCACACATGTCTGCGCATAGATCGCCAGCATGCGGCCACCAGAAGGATGTTGAGGGTTTGATCGAGCTGGTGAAAAGGTGCTTGTTGCGAAACTTGGTGCTGGACTTGGATAGATTATATTGTCAGCCTCATACGGAATTTCACATGACCTGGGACTGGCCATAGGTGCTGCTCTGTTAGTCCCAAAGACTCTTTCCATGCAAATGGGTTGATCTTTATTAGGTCTGACTCAAAAAAGGGGCTGCGAGTTTTTGCCGACAGAAACATCTTCTCCTGATGCTTGGAGGCAAGGAATCACTCTGACGACAAGGCACACACGGTCCGGACGCATCACCCCAGAGAGAGTCATCACTCTCCATATTGCTTCCCTCAGTGCTGACCAATGCTTACACTGGTTTTGTGTAGAGTTTGACCTCCCAATTTGTAGCATGTCAGTGGTATGGCAGCATTGAGAGACCCACCATGTCATAGACAAAAAGGCTGAGAGTCCGATCAATTCCTTCCTGGAAAAGGCAGGTTGTACCTTCACTCCTCTTTTCTCCTTCACCAGTCCTTCACCAGTCCCGCCTGCTGCTGGCAAACGGCAGTAGCTCCCACATAAGCCTCGTAGCACCGCTTGGCTGCCACAACGGACTCAAAGCAAGTCCAGCATGTTCCAAGGCACTCAAGATCTTCCCCCACCCCTATAGCCTATAGTCAAGACTCAAGCCTCTCAACACGGCCGAGAGTGTCTTCTTGACCCCTTCTTCGATTTCCACACGACCGGAGGGGTCCAGAAACGCATGGGAGGAAACGAAGAATCCACACCGTGCACGGTCCGGACCGTGCATCCCATGGACGACTCCAATCCGCTGAGAAACGCAGTAGACGATGCCCAGGAGGTGGGACCACATGTTCCCTGGCGACGTGGGTCACGAACAACAGGAATGCTGGCGGGGTCCAGTCTCACCGGCCTTTCAGAATGTGTCACACTGTGTTTAACATCCGGATCTTTGTGTCAAAGATCAAAGATCATGAAGATGCCATCCCCCGAAAGGTTTCTCTTCCTCTTCCTTCCTCCTTCTTCCTTCTTCCTTCTTCCTTCTTCCTTCGTCCTTCCTCCTTCCTCCTTCCTCCTTCCTCCTTCTTCCTTCTTCCACTTCTTCCTTCTTCTTTCTTCCTTCTTCATTATTCCTTTTATTGTTTTTCTTAGTATGTTTCTTCTTCTTCCTTTCTTATTGTTCTGTTGTTCTTCTTCTTCTTCTCCTCCTGCTCCTCGTCTTCGTCTTCGTCGTCGTCGTCGTCGTCGTCGTCTTCTTCTTCTTCTTCTTCTTCTTCAGCTATATTTTTTTCGTGTTCTCTATTCTTCTTTCGTCTTCTTTCTTCTTCTTATTCGTTCAATTTGTCTTTCTTATTACTATTATTCTTCTTATGCTTCTTATTATTCCGCTTTATTCTTCGTTCTTATTCTTTCTTGTTCTTATTCTTCCTTATTCTTCTTCCTTATTCTTCCTTATTATTCCTTCTTATTATTCCTTCTTATTGATTATTATTCTTATTATTTGTGTTATTCTTCTTCCCTTCTTCTTCTTCTTCTTTCCTTCTTCTTCTTCTTTCCTTATTCTTCTTCTTTCCTTCTTTCCTTATGTCATTCTTTCCTTCTTTCCTTCTTTCCTTCTGTGCTTCTTTCCTTCTTTCCTTCTTTCCTTCT